TAAAATACAATAGAAAGAGGCAATATTGTACAAGCTATTCAGAATCTTGCTCAGGGTACTGTGCAGAAACAGAAACAGCGTGTTTAGCCTTGATTTTAGAGACTGTTGGGAGAATTATCTTTCTGGGTTCAGTTCCAAGTGGGGAAAAAGACACTGAAAATATGGAGGCTGTTTGGAAAGATGGTTTAATGGTGGACAGGACCACATGGCTTGGAGCTCCAAAGAAGGAAGGCTGAGATGCTGAGAGACCCTTGGTTTTTTACCCTCTGTTGGGATTTGAATTGGAGCTTGTATTCTGATTGGTTGTCAGACTCCCATGGGACCATGCAGGGGCAACTCTGTAGTCTGTCCTGAGTCCCAGGCTTATTTGAGCCTTGCTGAGTGATGATGAAATGAAAGGGCTTTGGGCAATTCCTATAGCTCTACCTGGAGATCTTTGTTATGTAAAATAGACTGGCCTCGGCCAGAGTAATGGCCCATTAGCAAAGGTGCTTCTGAGTTTCTACTCTTTTTAGGGGAAATATTCTGCCTTTGTAATATTTCCTAGGATATTTCAATTTTCTAGGAGAGGGGTGGGTTTTAACTTCCAACAAGACCAAGGGAAATTGGACATTTGAGGCCACAGAAATTGAGGAATGAAGCCTATGGAGATGCGATAATAGCAGGGTCAGGTATCTTGGAGAATGGTCATATCTGAGAATATTACCTCAAAAGGCAAGGAAATCTCTCTTTCTTCAGGGGTGTCCATAAGTAGAACAGAAATGATAGAAGTCAAAATACCAGAAAGGAAGCTATTTGGAAAAGAATGCTTAGTTCAGCAGCAATGCCATCAATAATCTTTACTGCATAAAAAGCATGGGAAGGAATCTGTTGAGAAGACTTACATAGCAGGGATACAGGATTCCTCATTTATACTCCACTTATTTCTGTACCATTTAAATATTAACAATAGGCCTTTAGGCCTTTTTCTGGATTTTAGAAAACATGAAGTTGTGGGGTGCATCCCAATATTCCCTTCCTCATCAGGATGAGATTAAGAATGATCAAATGTCATGAATACTACAAAAATAGGAATAGATTCTCAGTTTTACAACATTAACTCCAGAGATGGATTTAAGCCTTTCCAGGTATGACCTGCAATTTCTGATTATGGATGATTTTTGGGGAAGTTAAAAAATTAGTCTGGAGATGTGATGGGGAGAATGGATAATCCAGAACTGTTTGTCCTCCTGTTAATCTGCTTGTCTATGGCTCTAAACTTCAAATGAAGCAGAAAGAGATGACATGGAAGCAAGCCTAAAAGCAAAATAGACTGACGCTCTGGAATATATCTATATATATAAAAGGGAAATACCACTCACGCATCATCACAAAATCTCCAGAACTGTAAAGCCTACAAACTTGAAATTTGGCACATATGTTCCTCTTGGATTCTAGGTGCTCACGAAGAAAGGATTTTTCAAAATGACCATCAGAGCATTAATAATTTTGTATATTATTATTAACATGTTCTGATGCTAAGGAGTTCTATTCCCCCTCCCCCACCTAAAAAGATGCAAAACACAAGCAGAGGAGAGAAGTTTCAGTTTCAGTTTCACAGCACCATCAGCTTTAGTACAGAACAGTTGAGCTAAGCCACACCCATGCTCCTTGCTGTCTCCTTCTTGCTCACACAGCAAATACTGTTTCAGTTTCCAAACAGCCCTCAACTCTCTCACACACTGACAGGACGCTAGCCATAGATGCCAGTAGGCAGAGCCAGAATTTTTTTCTTCTTATTTTCCTCCCCAAAAACTAAGTCCAATCACATAGTTTTGTAGCAAAGCATGGGTATCCAGCTCGTTGAAAAAAATGGGAACAAAATTGAACTTCATTAATCACCTCATTCTTTAAAATGTTGGAAACAAAGGAATTGTATCTCACAGTGACTTAAGCTCACCCAACATTAGGACCCAAAGAACAAGAGTTTGAATAGGAATACCATTATCTCTGCTAACTTATGAAATATTGCCCATCTGGAGAAAAAAAAAACTGAAGTAGATCTTAAGATAAAAATTATCCAATTATCTCAATTCAAACCCTATTCCAAGTAAATTTTTGTTTAAAACACTATGCAAAATGCCAGTTTCCTAATCAACCAAACTAACCAAAACTACCAGTTACAGAATAATAGAAAGGGCAAGTCCTGTAAGATTGAAATTTGCTTCCCACTCAGGATCAAAGCAAAATGATGATTTCATAGTTGCTGAAACTCAACAGTCATTAAGAGCACAGTACTTGAAGTAATATGACCCAAAACATTCTGGAACAGCAGATTCTGTTTATGCATTATAGGCAAACTTTCATTTATCAAAAAAACAAAAAAACAAATCACCTTATCTTGCCTGGAATAGATGACAAAAACCATGGTGCCCTTGAACATTTTGGGTGATAGTGTTGAAAGGTGTCAAAATGCCTTTCTTTTGAGGATTCGATTTTCCCGCTGGGAGAGCTCCGGTGCAAGGATACGGACAACTGCTTGAAAGCTGGATCTTTTTATTTTTCAGGAAGGCGGGGGACAGCGAGAAGTCTGCGTTCCTGGGCTAGCTAGCTTCTTATGGTAAGTCCCTGGTTTTTTATACCCTTTTCTCCCTTTGTAAGTTGATTTTGTGTGAATGTTTGTATTTGTGCTTAATGTTTCAAATTCTGTTTGAGTTTGTCTTTATTCCCGCCAGAGGGCAAACTCCGCGGGGTGCGGAAGGCAAACTCCATGGGGTGGCTAGATTGTATTATTGGTTTTCTCTAATCTCTTTTAGCTTTAAGATAGTTTTTCATATTTGTTCTGTGGCAATCTCCTGTCTGTCCCTTTTGTAATTTATATTTTGTGTCTTTTGTCTGTTTGTTTTGCTTATTTGGTATGTCCTGTGTTTGTAAGGGTTTTCTAAATTATCTTTTTGTTTCCTTTTCTTATTTGTCTAGTTTTCTTAATTACTTAGGCTTTTGTCTATAGGGATTCTTTAATGCCTTTTTTATTTGATTCCTTTTCCTATGTAAGTTTGTTTTATGGCTGACCTGATGTTCCCCTTGGGCTTTTCCTGTTTTTGTGACACTACTGTCTTCATGAAGTTCCCTTTCCACAATAGTACATGGTCACTTATTCTTAACTAAAAGGTGAATTTGTTTTAGCTGAGTGGGATGTATTCCAAATAGTTTCCAAAATATATAGTTTTATCTACTGTTAAATTGTTTGGTTTGGTGGATGGGGAAGTGGGTCATTCTGTGCTAATTTTGGAAATATAGGAGTTTGCCCGGAATGCGTTAGGGAACATTGTTTTCATGGAATGTTTGAAACTTTTTCATCACTGCCATTTATTATATGTGACTATGAATTTTGTTAGTTTGGTTAGATGGACCATTTTTAGACAGTACAGATTTTTACTGAGAATAAACCATAATTTCTTGGTGGAAGCTTGATTCTTTTTGTATTAAAGCCTTCCGATGCACTATGTGTCTGGTGAGATTCATTGGTCTGGCTGGGTAGGAGATAATACAGTATTTCTAATTGCTTCCTAAAATAGTGATTCTTGTCTGAAACCAGAATTGAAATGTGAGCTCTTTTGGAGTCATTGCTTTCTTGATGCACATAACTGCAGAGTTTTGTCTGTTTTACAGAAGTGTTTCAGCAGTGGTATTAAGGCTCACTGGTGCCCGAAGCACTGACAAATCTTGGTGCCCGCTTCCTTTGTACATATTACACAAACAAAGCCATATTCTTAACTTTGTGGTGTCCCCTTTGGGCCTGGTGTCCTAAGCATGTGCTTAGTCTGTTTAATGGTTAATAGACCACTGTGTTTCAGTTAATTCCTCCTTGTTTTAGGTATAGTATATTTTAAGGCATTAAAAGGTTAAAAGAAACTACCGTATTTGCCGGCGTATAAGACGACCCGGCGTATAAGACGACCCCGCACCACCACCAGAAACGCCCTCCAGAAATCCCCGGGGCTGCAGCGGCAGGGCGGAGTGCCAGGGGCTGTGGGAAGAGCAGGAAGGCTGCAGCCTCGGGCGGAGCGAGGCGAGCGGGATGAAGCGGAAGCGACGCAGGGGATCCGGGAAGCCAGAGGCGCCTTCGCTGCGTCCAACAAGCATCCGAAAGCCGGCAGTGGATATACCGGCGTATAAGACGACCCCCCCACTTGGAGGCATGTTTTTCGGGGCAAAAAAGTCGTCTTATACGCCGGCAAATACGGTATTATTTATGTAGACATTCTGTAAAGTGACCCTGGGCAGAAAACGGTTACAAATTGAATACTATACCGTATATTTTCCTTTCTTTCTAAAATTGCTCATTCCAGTCCATTAAATTCCATTTCAACTTTTATATCACCCTGAGAATTAGTTTATGTCACATGTGGAAAATCCAGTTCCCTGTTTTCCAAAATCTTCTCTGGATCCTCTTTAAACCACTGTTTGCTTCAGTGAAGAGTGAAGAAAAGAATTCAGAGTTCTGCTCAAAGTCTATTTTTTCCTTAGCCGTCAGCTGGCAGGGCAAGCCTTTATTCTGAAGAAGTTTGGAACTGAAAGGTATTGTGTTTGTTGTGGGGGGGAGAGAAACAATTGCACTGTGCCTCTCCATTAAGCCTGAGAGAAGAGAAGCTGGCTACATGAGGCTGGTTCTGCAATCAGGCAAATCCAGAGGCTCACTTTGAGGAGCAGGAACTGGAAGGTGAGAGGGCATGCAAAATGCAGTTCTGTCGGAGGGAGTTAGCTGAAAGGAAAGTTTATTTTATTTATTTATTTATTTGATTTGCCAATTGTTTACAAGATAATAAGTATAAATGTATACATAGTTGTGAATACATGAAATGGGTACATATAAGAAAAATAAAAGAATAAGAGAAACAATAGGACAGGTACGGTAGGCACGTTGGTTTAACTGTCTTGATGTATTGATATATATATATGTATTGATATATTGAAGTTTAACTGTCTTGATGTATTCTTAGTGAACTTAGTTAGGACATTTCAAGTTAGGAATTTTCTGTGGAAAGATGATCTCACACAGGTGTGTATCCAAAGCTGCTTATTGTTCCTTTTCCCTCCTGCTGGTTTTAACAACACTTTGATAATCTTGCAAACTGATCTGCAGCTCAAACCTTTTGATGCTCATAATTTCAAAGTAGGAAATTGTAGGTGCAGGTTCACAAAAGATATCAAAAATAGATTAAATATGATTCATTTGAATTGATGTCATCCCACACAAAACTTAGGAGCATTTATAAAAACCTCCAATTGGTCCCAGTTGGGTTCTCAGATAAAGGAGTATCTGAACAAGTTAACAGACACCTCTGAAATACTTCAGCTTTGCAACGCAGGACTGGCAGAGCAATGTAGATGACATTTTGATCACAGATTGGGGATGATGTGTGAAAGCAGGGAGGTAAGGAAACTGAACAAGCCTCAAATTTAAATGATTAGAAACCCGACTTTCCCCAGGTACTCTCACAAACTGGCTGCTATGGTCCACCTCAGTGTCACGCCAGAAGTCTCCCTTGCTGACTTGCCAGTGAAGATTTATGCCTCTGACCTGGCGCCCTCCCAGCTTGTGACCTTATATGCATCACTGACAGATGAAAGGGGGGTGAAGTTCGTAGCCAGAGCCTTTTACCAAGCCAATCAGAATGGAGAAGTGGATGTGGCTCAGGCTTCTGCTCTGGGAGGCAACTATACAGGTGTGTGGCCCATGGGCCTCTTCTACACTCTAAAGGCTGAGAAGATGTTCCACAGGCTGCTCAAACGTGACGTGACAGGCAGCCCCTTCTATGTTCAGATTAGCCTCTTCAATTCTGCTGTGGTTGTACCCTTGCCCACACATGAACCACTGGCTACTTGTACTGTGGAACGATGGTATGCAGCCCCTGGAGTGGAACGCATCCCCATTAAGTCCGGCAAGGTCCGGGGAGCCCTCTTTTTACCTCCAGGTAAGGATTCTGATTTTCCTTCCACTTATCTTTATTTCCTCTATCTCTTGCTTGCAATGGAGGGTGGCTCCAAATGTATTTAGGGTAGTAGTGCCTAGACTTCCTAGCCAGCATGGAAGCACAGTTGATTTGTGCTTGGATGAGCAATCCCATAATCTGTTATCCCTTTGAGATTAGCCAAACCAGGAGACCATCTTTACAAGTTTGTCTGGATCTATATTTTGATAACCACCATATTTCCCCAAACTTCTTGGTTCCTGGTATCCCTAGTAATTCCTATATAGATTTATAATATTAATATTCTTGAAGTATTCATCTTTTGTTGGCTAGATTGAAAGGTCTGGTCTCCTTCTCCACCTCTGCCTCTCTCCTTTGGATGGAGAGTGGCTGTTCTGCAGATATGAGCACAGAGCACTTTTCTCTAAGTTGGATCATAATACTGATAAAAGAGACCATGTGCTCATGCACAAAGCAAGTGAAAATCTGAACACTTTTTGAAAAGGGGGCACATAAAAATAGAAAGGCATGTTGTGTCACAAGGAGGGGAACAAATGCATCACCCAGATATGCACAGATGTTGTTGGGAAAATTAAAGCTAAGAATGAGTCAAAGTTAGTGAAAATTGTAAGGATAACAAAAAGTATTCATCATATATATCCAAAGGGAAAAAAAACAGCAATTCATATATGAGCTACGAGAACTACCCATCTCATCTTTGGTCCATTTTTTTCTGAGAAGTACTCCATTGGACAGAAATATGCTCAGGGAACACTTACTGACTTTAAAGGAATTCAGTCTTTTGAATAACTAGATCAGGGGTCTTCGAACTTGGCAGCTTTAAAACTTGTCAACTTCAACTCCCAGAAGTCTTCCTCCAGTCATGTTAGCTCAGAAGTTCTGAAAGTTGAAGTCCATAAGTCTTAAACTTGCCAAGTTTGAAGATCCTTGGACTAGATCAGGGGTCCCCAACCGCCGGGCCCCAGACCGGTATCGGTCCATGGATCACTTTGTACCGGGCCGCAAAGAAATAAAAAATAAAATAAAAATGGCGGCTTTCTTCGCCTTCGGTGAATGCTGCTGGGATCAGGGATCAAGAACACAAAGGAGAGAAGGGGAGGGAGGAAGCAACCAAAGCCTGTCCTGCTCTCCGGCTCAGCGGCTTCGGTTTCCTCCCGCCTCGTTCCTCTCTCAGTCGCTCTCTCGCTCCTCCAAAACAACCAGAAATAAGGCAGGCAGGCAGGCAGGCAGAACGGAGCACTGGATTGAACCGCGGGCAGCTGTGTGGGGGTGAATGGGCGCTTCGGAGGAGCTGCGCCGACAGGAAGCCACCCTGCCGGCTTCTTTGAAGCAGTTTCTTCCTGGGCTGGTGGAGGAGCGAGAGAGCGACTGAGAGAGGAACGAGGCAGACACCTGAGGGATGAGGCTGAGGGAGGGAGGGAGACACCTGAGGGATGAGGCTGAGGAAGGCAGGGCCGAGAGGTGGGGCTTCTCAGCCGTCCTGCAGGGACTTGTCCTGAGCCGCGGAGACAGCCGTGGGCCGCCACCACCCAGCGCTCAGTTTTGAAGGCGCTCCTCAGCCAGGCGCAGTTCCTGAATCTGCAGCTGAAACCCTCCGTTTTAAATGTCCCAATAGAAGAGAATATCTGTCGCTCAGGGTTGCAATGAGGAGGCATTGGTGCTCCCTGAACTTGGTGGTTTGCTGGCAGACGTTTTATTACCCGACTAGGTAACAACATCAGATGTTACCTAATCAGGTAATGAAACGTCTGCAAGCAAACCACCAAACTCGGACTCCCCCCCTCCCCGGTCCTTGAAAAAGTGTTTCTGTGTGAAACTGGTCCCTGGTACAAAAAAGGTTGGGGACCACTGGACTAGATGATTCCTAGACCACCAACCTGCTGACGATCTGGTCAAATCATTATCTTTGAAATTATCTTGGAGAATATGTGAAATACTAAATAACTAAAGCAGTGGTCGCCAACCAGTGGGCCACTGGTAGGCCATGAGAAAATTTTGGTGGGCCGCAGAGAAATCTCACCCCCAGAGCACCCCCCACCCCAAAGCAATTAATCCAGGCTGCACAGAAACACAAGGCTGCTCAGCCCACATGGCCCGTGGGAACCCTCCCTGCCCACTCACTCCTTACCCGGCAAACTTGTCTGCTAAGTTGCTATTTTTCCTTATTCTGACCATCATCTGTTCTGCTGTGCCAGGAGATTTAGATTAGCTAGAAAGCAAGAAATGGTTGGATTTCTTGCTTTCTAGCTAAGCACAGTTGAACCTCCCTTAGGACTGAAGGTTTGCTTGCAGGCAAATTCCATGCAGACTCACGGCAAGCAAATTTGAGAGACTGAGCTAGCTGATGGCAGATAGATAGATCACTGAATGATTCTGTGAGCAACTCAATCTGCCTGCTTTGCCTGATTTTGGATAAAAGTTGCTTTTTTATATAAAAAATTCAATATTTACATACATGGTGTGTTGTGAGTTCATTTTATGAGTTTGCTTGCAAGCAAATTTTATGTGACAGACTGAGCTAGCCAATGGCAGATAGATAGATTTCTGAATGAATCTGTGATTCTGTGAGCAACTCAATCTGCCTGCCTGCTTTGCCTGATTTGGGGTAAAAGTTGCTCTTTTTTAAAAAAAAATTCAACATTGATATAAATATTTATAATATTTACATACAAGCCATGCCCAGCCAGTCACATGACCACCAAGCCACACCCACAAATTAGGCCATGCCCACAGAACCAGTTAGTGGTCCCTGGGATTTAAAATTATGAGTTTGGTGGTCCCTGAAGTCCAAAAGGTTGGCGACCCCTGGACTAAAGGATAAAAATACTGCCAGAAAGGAGGAACTGGGGAACTACAAATCAATCAATTTGGCATAAATATTTGGGATGTTTCTAGAGCAGATCATGAAAGAATTGACTTGTTAGCATCTTGAAGCAATATTTGAACTTTATATACTTACAGTAGTACTGATTTACAATATTTGTAGACCACCCCAGTTATGAGAGTCTATTATCACCCACCAGTATAAGTTAGCATGTATCAGACTAATCTTTACTTTCTATTAAGATTATGGAAATGCTGTAAATACAACACTGAATACCAAGATTTCATCAATGCATTTGACAAACTATGGCATTCTCATCAGCAGCCTGGATTATTGTAATCGACTGACATGTCAGTTTGGATATATAGTGACTCGAAAATCATATTCAGATTTAATCTGAATATTTAATCATGATTCTTCATGAAACTGCAGTGAGATACTGAATTCAGTGCTGCAGACTTCAGCCTGGATCTTACACAATTTAATATTTTTTATTAATGTCTTTGATGAAGAGGCAGAGGGAATGCTCTTTAAATCTGCAGATGACATAAAATTAGGTGAAATAGTTGGTGCCCTAGAAGATACAGATAAAACTGAACATGGACGTAGCAGTTTAGAGAAATGGAACAAAAATGACAGAAACTTAATTGAGACAACGAAAAATCCTTCATGCATCTCACAAATAAGATGTGAGATGCATAACTTTCTAACAGTACCTGTGAAAAAGAATTTGCAATAGTAGCTGCGTGAAAATTAAATTTGGCTCAGCAGTATGACCTAGCAGCAAAAACAAAAAAAGGCAAATGCAGTTGTAGACATCATTAAAAGTATTGTTCCCAAATCAGAGAAAGTAATGTATTTGATAAAGGGATATTACTCTTTGTTTTTCATATCTTTACTTATCCTTGTTTTTTTCTCCCTCTCTGCCTCAACGCCAGGCCCTGGGCCATTTCCAGGACTGATTGACCTGTTTGGTGGAGCTGGAGGACTAATCGAATTTCGAGCTGGCTTATTGGCTAGTAAAGGCTTTGCAGTCCTGGCTTTGGCTTTTTTTGCATATGATGATTTACCACAGACTCTGGAAGTAATAGATCTGGAGTATTTTGAGGAAGCATCCAGACTGCTCTTAAAAAATCCTAAGGTATGCCTGAGATTATATTTTATCTTAAACTTCTTGTTGGGATTCAGGAAAGATCCTAGAGTTTATTCTCTATTTGCTATGCAGAATACTCCGTATATACCAGGCATGCTATGCACCCATCTGATATAACAAGCTAAAGACATTTTGGGCCTGATATGAGCACAGCACAGATCAATAGCATTATTCTTGAGGGCAGAATGATGAGAGTAGC